GGCAGAGTGTGGAAGCTGAAGAAGGCCCTCTATGGGCTGAAGCAGGCCCCTAGGCAATGGTACATGAAGCTGCGCGAAGTGTTGGAGGGGATCGGCTTCACTCCCTCAACGGCCGATCACTCCTTGTTCATGCTTGGCGAGGGGGAGCAGAGGAGTTTCATGGTGGTTTATGTGGATGACATCCTCATTTTCTCACCCTCTTCTGAACTTGTGAAGGAGGTGATGCTGAAGCTTCAAGACAAGTTCAAGTGCAAGGCCCTTGGTGACGTGAGCTTCTACCTTGGGCTCCACATCGAACGAGATGTGGAGAAGCGGTGCATGCGGGTGCATCAACGAAAGTACCTGGAGGCATTGGCTGCCAACTTTGGGCAGAGTGAAGGCCATGTGGCTACACCCTTTCCCTCTGGGTTCAAGTGTGTGAAGGGACCAGAGGAGGAGAGCGTTGGTGAAGAGGAGAGGCGCCGATTTCACTCGTTGGTGGGCAGCCTCATGTATGCGGCGGTAAACACCCGACCGGACGTCGCGTTTGCTACCGGGCAGCTGGCTAGGGTTGTGCAATGCCCTAATGAGGAGCAGGTAGCAGCTGGAATGAGGGTGGCCAAGTATCTTGGCCAAACACCGACCGTTGGGCTGCAATACTCGGCGGCGGCACAAAGGCGCCAAAAGGGCGCGGATGGTGTTGAACCCGGGCGTTTGTTCCTCACCGCCTACTCGGATGCTTCATATGCATCAGAACCAGAGGACATGACAAGTGTGGGAGGCTTCATATGCTGTGTTGGTGGAGGCCCAACTGCTTGGGAGAGCAAGAAGCAGGTTGACCAAGCTTTGAGCTCGGTGGAGTCCGAGTACATGGCACTCTTCCGTGCCGTACGGGAGATTGTGTGGCAGCGGCGTTTGTTGGCTGAATCTGAATTGGGGGAGGAGCAGCAAGGACCTACCCCACTGTACTGTGACAGCCAGGGTGCCATTGCTCTTGCTAAGAACCCTGTGTTGCATGGACTCACGAAGCACATGAGGGTGAAGTGGCATTGGACGAGGAGCATGGTAACCGCGGGTGAAGTTGAGTTGCGCTACGTGAAGACCACGGGGCAGCCGGCTGACATGATGACCAAGAGGCTGGTGGAGCAGCAGCATTGGAAGTGTTGCAAGCTGGCTGGGATGGCTCTGAACTGAGAGAGCAACATATCCTAAGGCCAACAATCCGAGGGGGAGTTTGTTGGTGCAACCCTACGGTTTGCACTCGGCTTGTTGTCCGTGTGCGTGAATGTGTGTGTGTATGGAATGGTATGAGGGCATGGGATAATTTATATTTCATGCTTATAATTGTGTGTGAATGTTGAGTCATGATGTCGAGTGTGTGTGTCGAGTCAATAGCGAGTTATCGCTAGACGCGTGTTACGCGGTCGTTTGTGTCTCGCGCGCGGTTTCTATTTTGTCGTGCGCGGTTTCTATTTTGTCCTGTGTCGAACGTTCGGCGTGTCGCAGGTGTGTGCAGCAGACCCATCAAGAACTCAAGGATGAGTTTGTGATGAAGAGCCCGAGCCTTGGTGTCAAGCCTCAAGTGATTTCGAAGCTCGCCAAAAAAGGGTACACCTCAAGATATTGAAGATAGTTACATTACTTTGTGTAGTGTAACATTTCACTTGGTGTAGGCCCTAGTGAAGGGTAGTTTCGAGACCCTTCGTGGTTGGGGACAGTGTGGCACTGTTCCACATCACTGTACCTCGGCTCTTGGGGTTTGTAGGAGCTGGGAGTCATTCCCAACTCGTAACTCTTCCTATCTTGTGTTCTAAGACTATAGTGGCTGCCATAGTACCGTTCGTTCAAACCGACGGTGTGTCGTCAATTCTTTATCAAATCGTGCAATCTAAATTGCTAATTGTAGACGACGTGAAGACGCTCCAGATCCAATTTGAATCAAGTCATTTGCAGCTGTGAGCAGAACGCTATCAGCGTTTGAAGCCGCTGTGCAGAAATCCGTCTGTGCTCTCTATCTTTCGTTTTAGGCACATTCAAGCCTATTGTGACTATAACAGGCTTTTTGATCTTTACCCGTATCTCTTTTCGGCTCGCCGTCTCCTCTGGTCTCCATCAGCCATACACATTCCTCCTTCTTGTGTCCCCGCTTCCCGCAGTTGTCGCAGCTCGGCGCTTGTGGGCAGTCTCGCTTGATGTAACCCCCTTCCCCACACTCGTGGCAGCGAGGGCGTCACATGCTCAGCTTCTGCCATGGCCGCCGCTGCCCAGGAGGTCCTGGCTTCCCCTTGCATTTCTGTGTCTTCCAGGTTTAGCATACGTTGCGCATGCTCGGTCTGCTTTGCTAGTCCGTAGACCTCCTTCAGTGTAATGTCCGCGCCAATGCCATATACCGTGTTCCTGACCACGTTGCGGAGATCTTTATCCAGGCCGCGGACGAACTTACGCACAGATAACCTCTCCTCCCGGCTTTCCATATCCTCTGTCTAGCCGAAACTCCTCCTTATTCCTCCGAAACTCCCGGAACTCCTCTACTCTCTTCGTTTGCCTGAGAAATTCCTCCTTCAGCAGCTATAGGCTATAGGAATTGTGTTTTCGGATTCTTTATATCTCCGCTCTCTAGCTCCTCCATGCGATAAAGCGTCTCCGCTTCTCCGGCTAGGGTCACCACCATCCTCCGGAAGAATTCCGCGAGATCTTGTCCATCTCATTTCCAGCTGTATTTGACTCTCTCTAGCTGCATTGCATAATTATTGATGGTCGGCCCCACTCCTGGTGTTCCAGTGAAGTGCTCCGCAACTTCGAGTTTTGGCTGGGTCGGAGCTGCCCATCTGCGTTCTCTATTTGCATCCTGCGATGGCATTCCTTCTGGCTGCGACGTCAGCCTCGTCATCACCATTTCGCATCTCGTCGGAGTGAGCAGCTCCTTTCTGGCATTTCGATGCAGCCATGGTTCTTCATTGTGATGCTTGGCCCGCTCCATTCCGGGCATCTGCTTTGGCGATTCCTCCTCCTTCAGCCACTCCCATCGCGCTCTGATATCTTGCGCCCATCGTAACTCGTGCGGTGTCTCTCCGGGATTCGAGGCCGCATGCCTTCCCTCTTCAATTGTTTCTCCTGCTTCGCGAGCTCACTATTCTGGCGTTCGGTACGCTCCTGCCTCAGATATGACCCTTGCTGTGCGTTATCCGCCCTTTGCATAGTGGCTGCGGCTGAGAAAGCCTGCGCTCTCCAGCTTGGTGTGGCTTTAATATCTTTCCGCCAGTATCTATGTCCAGATCTCGGCTTAATCATTCATCGTCTACGTACTACTATTTGCTCGTTTGTTAAAAGTTCCTAGTTGCAGTGAGGCTCCTTGTTGCTCTAGGAAGCTGGTGCTCGAAAGATTCTCTCTCATTAGGTCCTTGATATCCGAGTTCTTAGGCTTGCAGGGTTGGCTCCACTGGTTGCTCGGCTCTAATAGTTTGCTAGGCTCATATTGTGCTTAGTTATGAAAACAAATGAGCAAGCAAACAAATCCTAACCCGCCTCTTGCCTAAGTATCTCTTGTGGTTACCGTTCTTAGCAACGGTGCTTTCGACAACCCGCCTTTTTTTCTTTTCCCACTCACAAATTCGGCTTCCCGCCGTTCTCGCTACTGCTTGTCTCCTTATTATCTATTTGTCATGCATTTATATTGTTTCTATTCTCTCCTACAATCAAAAGCATGACAAACCGGCAGCTTGGGGGCAGCAGTTGCTACTCATCAAATTCACGTACAACAACTCCACATCAGCCACAACACAACAGTCGTCATTCTACCTCAACCACGAACAAAACCCCATTGTACCCATGATCCCGAATTCTGACAACGCAGTCCCACATGCACAACAATTCTCAAAAACATTTCAGGCCATCCGGACCCGAGCAGCAGACGTTATTAAAAAATCCAACATCATCGCTAAATGCAACGCCGATCGCCACCGCCGCCCCGTCACTTACCAGCCCGATGACCTCGTTTTACTCGACACTCAAAACTTCCGCCTACCCGCCCACGATATTGAGGGCCATTTCGCATCAGCCATGATTACACATGTCACCGCCCCCCTCCCCCTCCCTGCTGTCTGATACGTCAGCCCGTCATGTCACGTTAGTTTACTCCACCCATACGTCCCGTCCACCAGTCAACTACCTCGCAAGCGCCCAGCCAGCATGACACGACCACCAACGGATCAGATCATTACACCTGAGAAAATTCTGAGCCCTCGAGTTCGTGACCCGTATGGAGCTCGCCGGATCGAGTTCCTGATTCGCTAGAAAGACCGCACGCCCACCAAAGACAATTGGGTACCCCTGGATAGAAATGAAAACCAACCTGTCCTCATCGAGTATCTGCGCAGCCGCAACTTCCGGGATGTACACGCACTTTTGTAAGGAGGGCCTTCTTGGGGAGGGGGTGTCAAGATAAGAAACCGTAAGAATTAACTAAGGAAAGTGAAAACAAGCAAGATATATGAGACCTAACCCTAAACCTAGGAAATATGAATGTAACACCTAGACTAACGTAAACAACACATATAAATATATGTTGACACATCCCCATAGTCTAGGTGACGGTACCATAGTCATGTGAAAGCAACTCAAATCTCAGGGTGGGTCTCAAGGACACACACAGTCTAAGAGCAAGCAAGGGTCACATGACCAGTCAGCAAGAACAAGCAAGGGTCACAAGACCAGTCCACAAGACCTCCTACTACTCGACGCCCTCCAGCTCGACGTCCCCAGCCTCCCCTGTCGAGGTCGACGTCGGCCCCTCCTTCGTCGACCACCAGGTCAGGTCGACAACCTGGTCGACCACCCCTAATTCGGCACCCAAAAGTCGGCGCCCGCGCAGTGGTCCCTGTGCAGGTCGACCAGCCCCCGTCTCACCCACTGCTGCAGGTCGGCTGCACTCTCCCGTACACCCGACTACGAGGTCGGCTCTGCCCAAGCGAGGACGGGGCCTAACACAACTCCCGTTGACAAGGTGTTTCTAGCGGCTGGTTTCAGGTGGGGCGGCAGGCACAGGGTGCGGGGAGGCGACGGGATGGGGACGGGAGGAGACGGGGACGCAAACCCGAGGGCGATGGGGACGAAACGCGGTGGGCGATGAGGACGCGACGGGGAGGGGACGGGAGGTGACGGGGGCACGACGCGGAGGGCGACGGGGACGCGACGGGAAGGGGACGGAGGGCGACGGGGGGCGACGGGGGCGCGATTCGGAGGGGGATGGGAGGTGACGGGGACACGACAGGGATGAGACGAGAGGTGACGGGAATGCGACGGGAAAGGGAAGGGAGGCGACGGGGAGGGGACGGGGGGTGACGGGGGCACGACGTAGAGGGCGACGGGGGACGCGACGGGGAGGGGACGGGGGGCGACGGGGGTGCGACTCAAAGGGGGGGACGGGAGGCGACGGGAAGGGGACGGGGTCGCGACGTGGGGGGGGACCCGCAGGGGTCCCTTCCTAGCGCAATCTGACGGGCCCGCGGGGGCCGTTCTAGGTCGTGACGTAGGGGGGACCCGCGGGGGTCCCTTCCTAGCGCGATCTAGCGAGCCCACGGGGGACGTTCTAGGTCATGACGGGTGACGGGCGGGGCTAGCAAGCTGACGGGATCGACGGGGGGGCGCTACGGGTGACTAGGCGCTACGGATGATGAGGTGCTATGGGTGACGAGGTGCTATGGGCTAGGTTAGGGTATGGGGTGGTGGGGCCATAGGATCTTATCACTCTATATCATGTCAAAGTAAGAACTCGTGAATGAATGATGAAATCAAGGGCATACAAGGGTTGATATAACAAACCCTAACCCTAGTGTTAGGACAAATGTAACACAATGTAGAACACCTAGACTAAACTAACAAACTATAACAATTATAGTTTGACAGGGTGGGTGTGAGGGAGGAGATGGGTGGGCGTGAAAGAGGAGGTGAGTGGGTGTGAGGGAGGAGAGTAGCCTCCCATCCCCTCCCTTCTCTCTTCCATCAGCCTCCCATCCAGTCGTCTATCCTATCCCCCATCGTTCACTCTCCCACCCACTCTCTCTCCCCCTTCCTTCGCTAAGAAAAGTAGATTCGACCCAGATCAGCCGACTTTGCTCATTCTAGTCTCCACTAATCTATGCTTAGGCTAGGTAGGGATTGAGTAAGCACGGAAATGTCATTCCACAACTGAGCGTACGTGCGTTCCGGCACAATGGCATTCGTCAGCGCTCTCGCCCACTCTCTCTCCCCCTTCCCTCGCCTCTCCCCTGCACTCCGAATCCACCTCTCCTATTGCTCTTCTATCCTCTTCCCTGCCCTCCATCCCCACTCTCCTCTGAACCCACCCTACCTCCCTCTTCTGAAGCCCCCTTCTTCTCTCCCTCTTATGAACCCTCTTACGAACCCACCCTACCCTCTCCTCGCTGTGGCCCTGCCCTTCCCTCTCTCCCCGCCACCGCTGTGCCAGCACACCCCCCTTCACGCCTCTCATGCTCCATTCATCCTGTGCCTCCTCCATAAATCTCACCATCGCCATAAGCCCCTCTACTCTCACACCTCCCACCACCTCCATGCACCACACACCCTTCTTCCTCCCATTCATCTTCCTTCTCCTCCTCCTCCTCCTCCTCCTCCTCCTCCTCCTCCTCCTCCTCCTCCTCCTCCTCCTCCTCCTCCTCCTCCTCCTCCTCCCCCTCCTCCTCCACTGCCTCCTCCTCCTCCCCCCCCTCTCCCTCTTGTCAGAATATATTTGATATATGTTCTGTATAAGCGCATGTAGTTCTAGCTGTAGTGTAGTCCCATTATTGTCCTGTGTGGTGGTGCACCACTCCTTGCATGCTTCTCCTCTATTTGTACTTGTCATTCCATAGTTGAATCACTCCTTTTGCTTGGACTTCTACTTTGCCTAAGGATAAACCCTAGCTCCTACTCCTAACTAAGCATCCTAAGCCTAAACCTAGTTTCCTAGGTGCTTAGTATCTTGACATGGTATTAGAGTGTTTCGATCCTATGCCTACTACGCTTCCGCTCATGGGCCCCTCTGCCCGTTTTTCTGCCCGTCGGTTTTCTGCCCGTCGATTTCAGATCCCGTCGGTTTTCTGCCCGTCGCGCGCCCCGGGCGCGCGTCGATTTTCTGCTCGTCGTGCGCCCCGGACGCGCGACGGTTTCCTGCCCGTCGCGCGCCCCGGGCGTGCGACGGTTCTCTGCCCGTCGCGCGCCCTGGGCGTGCGACGGTTTCTGCCCGTCACGCGCCCCGGGCGTGCGACGGTTTCTGCCCGTCGCGCGCCTTGGACGCGCAACGGGTTCTGCCCGCCAGCGCGCCCTGCTGTCGCCCGCGCACCTCCTACCCCGCCCCCCCGCCCACCCCCCCCCACCCTTCCCCTTCATCTCCATGATGCGCGTGCGGCAGTGGGGGGGAGGGTATGGGGGTGGCCTCTCTCCCACTGCTGCAGCTGCTGCTGAGGGGGGGAGGGTGTGGGGGAAGCCGAGGGAGTGTGGGGGGAGCTGGGGGTGGCAGGTGTGAGTAAGCTGCCCCTCCTCCTTCTCTCTCTCCCACTGCTGCAGCTGCTGCTGAGGGGGGGAGGGTGTGGGGGGGAGCCGAGGGAGTGTGGGCGAGCCGAGGGAGTGGCGCTAATGTTGTAGAAGGGGGTGTGGGGCAATGGGGGAAGTTGAACGGAGGTAGCCGTCGTGTCGCCAGCAGCGCCAGTAGTCCGGGGCCCTCGTGCTCTCGGTAGCCCAGCGAGCCTGCTACGCCAGTCGCCCGTGGGTCCGTTGCTCTTGCCGCTCCTCGTAGCCGCCGAGCCAGTTACTCCAGTAGTCCGGGGCGCTGTCCCGGTAGCCACTGTGCCAGCCGCTCCTGTCGCCCGTGTGTCTGCAGCTTCAGCCGCCGCCTCCTATCTCCTCTCCTCTCACAGTTCTTCCCCCTCCTCCTCACTTCGCCTCTTCTTCTGCTGCGCCCTGCAGGGTGTACCACTTCAGGGGGTGTTCTGCACATAGCTATTCCTGCATGCACTTAGGGGGTGTGTCAGAATATATTTGATATATGTTCTGTATAAGCGCATGTAGTTCTAGCTGTAGTGTAGTCCCATTATTGTCCTGTGTGGTGGTGCACCACTCCTTGCATGCTTCTCCTCTATTTGTACTTGTCATTTCATAGTTGAATCACTCCTTTTGCTTGGACTTCTACTTTGCCTAAGGATAAACCCTAGCTCCTACTCCTAACTAAGCATCCTAAGCCTAAACCTAGTTTCCTAGGTGCTTTGTATCTTGACACCTCTCCATCCCTTGTTCCTTCCCCCCCTTCCTCCCCCACTCACTCCTGTTCCATCACCCCCCCATCCCCCTCCGAATTCTCCCTCTCCTCCCCTTGCTCCTCGGCATCCCCCACACCCTTAACTCCTCCTCCCCCCTTCCCCCCGCCTGTCTCGCCAACACCACCATGCGTTTTACTCGGCTAACTTGCTTCTTCTTCGGTGTCTGCCTCTCCTTCCCTCGTCTGACACCAATGCTCTTCGATGTTGTTGGCTTCACCGAACCCGGCCCCTCCGCGCCCCTCCCCGCTCCCTCCGACGCAGCTTCCTTGTTCCCCCAATCATGCCCCTATACCTGGCCTCCTTCGTGCCCCCCCTCTCGCCCCTCTCCCCCGCTCCCCTCCTATCCCTCTCTCCTGCCGGTCCCCACCCCTCCGCCTGCCCCTTCGTTGCTCCTCCACCCTCTTGCTCCCCCTTCTCCCACCCCTCGCCTTGATTCAGCCAAACCCAGGCCACGAGCCAGTAGAGGCTCAAGCGCAGCGGGAATGGCAGCGGGCCAGCAGCGGAGGCGGCCGTGAGAATATGATACTGGCAAAGCGCGACTGGCGCGGGCTTCCACCTCCTCTTCTCGTCGCCGCCGCCTTTTCGGCCTGTGGTGCTCGCAGAGACGTTGCTGTTTCCGCCGCTCTCGCTGCCTCCGCTATTGCCGCCACCAGGAGTCCCACTTGCGCACGCATGCTTGCCCCATCCGCCATTGCCACTGCCCCTAGCGCCCCATGCCTTTGCTACTTTCCGCCATCGCGAATGGGTTCTTTATCTCTCTCTCGTTGTATGCGGTCGCTTTTTTGCTGTCGACAGTTGCTAATTCGTCGCCGTCCATCGCAATCTAATTGCATGTTTGTCGTTCTTATGCGATGATTATTGAGCCACTAGTGACAGCTCACTGTTGCCCTTCTAGCTCTTGCTCGCATTCGCCTGCGCGTGCGTGCTTGCCCCACCTGCCATTGCCATTCCTCCTCGCGCCCTGCTATCGCTATTCGGTTCTTCTCGCTCTCATCGTCTTCTATCGCTGTTTCGTCGCCGTCCGTCGCGCTCTCGTCGCCCTATCTGTCTTTTCAATGTGATCGCTATTGAGCCATTATCTGACGGCCCATTATTGCCCTCTCAAATCTCATTTTTTTATGCTGAATGCAGGTCCTGCCTACAGAATATGCCAGCAGGCAATGTTCGCCAAGTGGTCATGATACACAATTTAGACCAAATCGAAATATGAGAATTGCCAAGTTTTTAGAAACAAGAAAACTACAGAACATGATGTCGTTTGAGTCTCTGAACCGAGGGGGAAAAGTAGGCAGAGCCGAGCTAGGCGAGAACTGCAGATTAAATGAGGCTTGGAAGTTGGCGAAAGGTGCGGTGGCGATTCGAGATTGGTTCGGGGCGCGGAAGTAGCCGAACCAGCTTATGCGAACTGTTACGGGATACTTTACTATTCAAGGTATTTTACCCTAAACAGTCCCCCAACCTTATCCCAACCTTATCTTCATCCAATCCTTTAAGGATTTCCAAGATTTCGAAGTGCCACATGGCACTCTACTTTTCTTGCCTTCTATTTTCTAGTCCCACGAACTACTTTCCAACATTCGATGTTGCATGCTATATCAACCTTGCTTGTACTTGTCAATATCAATCAATTCGCACTCAACCCTTCAATTACTCAGTAACTTCTTCGCCTAGTTCGCCAATAGTTCTTTCGCCAAAGTCTTCCACCGTGTTTTCATCCTTGACTTAGTCGGCCCCGCTATTCTTTAGCGGATTTAGGCCAAGGGGCTTAACACTTGATATCAGGGCTTTCGCGGGGAGCAACTTCCAGCGAGCGACCGTCGACGACAAGACTATGACGTCATCGTCACGTGGTGCCGACTTGCATACTTGGAGTCGTCAAGCCGACATAGATGAAACCATGACCGCTCTCCCCAACGACATGAGCAACACACTTGCTCAACTCATGCGCCAACTCGAAACGTTGATGCTGGAAAATTGTCAGGTACGGGCTGAAATGCAACAGCTTCGTGAATTCGTGTCAATTCCTCTTGGTCATGCCGCACCATCTCCTCCACCCAACTCGTCGACTGGCGCCGAATCGCTGATGGAACGTCGAAGTGCGCTCAAGCCGCAGAAACGGGAGTCGTTTGACTAAAGCCAACGCGACGCGAACATGCGGACGTGTATCTTCATGCTCAGCAATTAATTCGCCACGAGCGGGGTGCAAGAGGCGGATGCACAGCAGCGAATCAAATACTCCGTTACGCTGCTGAGGGGCCCAGCCTTGGAGTGGTGGTGCTAACTCACGCAAACTGCTGTAAGGAGAGCTCAGTTAGACGGGTATCAACAGGGTGAGGGGCATGCAACTACAACCTCAAGCCCAAGGAGTTTATCTTTGGGTGTTACCACGGATCCGACGACATGGGAAGGATTGGAAGCGGCGTTTAAAAGTAGATTCGATTTGGTGAATGCCTCTGAAGCTGCTAGGAAGCGTCTGCATCATTTTCGACAGATAGGAAACGTCTAGGACTACACACGACGGTTCATGAGCATCTGCAACAAGATAGACGACATCACGGAAGCAGAGATGCGCGATCGCTATATCGAAAGGTTAAAGTCGGACATAGCGGAGACTATTGCGATTCATGGATTGTCCACCTTCAAGTCGGTAGTTGCAGCAGCGGAATTCGTCGACGCGGTACGAAGCCGACGGGGTCGTGACAATCGCGATAGGGGATACAAACCAATCAACGACACTCGCTCGAGGGACGGACCATCGCCCATGGAGATTGATGCAGTTAACAGTGACGGCTCACAGAGGGGAAACCGTCACTACTACAAAAAGCCAGGACACATGAAGCGGGATTGCCCACTGTTATGTGATGCTATCATTTGCATTCACGTCTGTCTGCCTCCCATCATATGTTCGTGCGTTGCATGCGTGGTGTGAGTGTATGCAAGAATTTTTGTTTGAGGTGGTTTGGATTTTTTCTGAGTGTGTGTGAATGTTATTTGGCTTGAGCAGATATCTGAAGTGACTCCTCTGCTCAAGAGCTTTCCGAAGAACCAAGTATCACTTCAATCGGAGCACGAACAAGAAAGTTACGAACGTTGGAAGTTCGTATGCCTTTGATATTTGGTTGTGATGACTATGGGAAGTTGTGGGGTTGACTCCATAAGGGGTATAGACTCTTGGGGGTTGGGAAATTCGTCAACATCACTGTAGATGCTGCCAAGTGGTTGGGAGGAGCCAAACCAGGTTGGCAAGTGTGGCCAAGTTGGGCAAGGTGGATGGCATGGGTTGGAAAGTGACAGAAGTAAAAGTGGGGTTCCTATAGAGAAGGGGTTTGGTGTGCTTATGGGGTTTCCTTGGTTGGGGACTCCTTGGGGACCTTCCCTCTTGTCCTCCTCTCCCCTCCCACCTGGTTAATTGCTACTCTAACTTTCTTGTGTGGTAATTGTGAGAGTCTTATTATTGAGTTAAGTTCTCATGGCAGCATATCCCCCTGTGCGCCGAAATTGATAAGTCGAGGTTTACTTCACCTCTTGATACGATTCAAATTGGGAATTGTAGCCATAGACTACGGCTACAACATATATGAGTTTGGTGAAGTTTTGACAGTGAATTGTTTGTCGACGGCGTTTCTTGTGAGCGCGACGATTCTGTCCAGAAATTGAGACCAACGATTTTGTGATATTTCGGCTCCTAATCTTCATAGACTCCGTCCTTAGTCTCTAACAAGTGGTATCAGAGCTGATTAAGGACCTTATGGGGAGTCTACTGAAGTGTGAAGACCCTCCTAGACCCACCATGGCCTGTGGGCGTGCCTAAGTAGAGTTCTGGGGGTTGGATGTGACTTCCGCTAAGGGGAAACTCTGCCGAAATTTCGTTGGCGCCGACACTTGTGGAAATTGTGTGGGAATTCGGTGCGGACAGCAAAGGGGGAGCTGGAACCTGTGATTGGGAGCAGAGGAGATGAGTCAAGGGAGTGGAGAAGAAGCTGAGAAGAGGAGTGAGCCGCCACCATCTAAGATTGAGGCGTTGGATGGCTCCAACTACGAGGAATGGAGCGGGCGGATGCGGAGCGCCTTCAAGTGCTATAAGCTGCTGAAAATCACGATGGGAGAAGAGAAGATGCCGGAGGAAGGAGATGCCCGCGATCGATGGATTGAGAAAAGCGCGGTGCTGTACGACTTGATTCTACAGTCGGTCAACAACGACATGTTCCAGCACATCAAGGATTTGGTGGAGCTCGATGACTCGGGACCAAAGGCGTGGAAACTACTACGCGACGTGGTTCAGCCCAACACGCTGCCGATGGTGATCGTATTGGAGAAGGAGCTGGCTGCCCTCTCCATGCGGCCGGGAGATGATGTGCTTGACAAGGTCAAGGACACCTATGCAAGGATGGCAGCGGCAGGCAGCAAGGCGTGGGAGATGCAGCAGTGCATCAAGATCATCTCGGTGCTCGACAACTCGTGGGACAACCTTATCCCCACCCTCAACGTTCAGCAGGACAAGTGGACGCCTGAGTGGCTACGGCAGCAGATCTTGCAGGAGGACTTCCGCAGGCGCCACACGGGAGGTGGTGCTGCAAACAAAACTGCTGAGGGGTATGGAGCTGCAGGAGGCAGCAGAGGAAGAGGGGGTGGGAGAGGCCGAGGCCGTGGGAGAGGCTTTGGCAGAGGGAGAGGCCGAGGTGACTACAATGAAGGGCATGGGAGCTCTGGAGGCAGGGGGAGCACCCGAATGGAGGGTGCGTGCTGGTACTGCAAGAAGGCTGGACACCCATGGTTCAAGTGTTTCAGCCGGCCTGAGGGATGGGCGCCCCCAGGCATGAAGCCGTCAAGTGGTGAACGTGCACGAGGTGGCGCTGTGCAAGGTTCAGGTGCACAAGGTGATGGTGCACAAGGTAAAGCCGACCCTGGGATGTTCCTCATGGTTGAGGATGTGCAAGGGAGTGGGGGTGATGTGGGTTCAGTTGGGAGCAAAAAAAACGACAACAGCAATTGGGCAAGAAAATCGGCAATGGCGGCAAGCTGTTTGGACAAAAAGAAATGAGACATTTGTTGGAAAAGTGGCAATGGGATGGGAACTTGCCACTGAAAATGAATAGCACTAAAAATTTGACTACAAGACAACATGAC